AATAATTTAATGACTATTACACACAAAAGGACAGAAGAAAGTTTATTCTGGAAACTACTTGCAAGCCAGGCAGTGCTGGACACAAGGCATTGAACCCATGGAATTCAGGGTTGTTTATCAAAATATCCTCGTGGCTTTAAGAGCAAGAAAGCACAAGGGATGAATGAAATTAAGACAGAAAGAAGTCCAAAAAGTAACTTCATATTAGGATTGATTCTCATTCCTATATAGCACATAAACAGAAGCCCAAGCACTGCCATCTGTTTATATCCAATCCTTTTTAAAAGCTGGGGGGCGGTGGTTGGTTTGTTTTTTTTTTTTAAATTGAGTTCACCTACTTGCACATCTGCCAGGTTCACTGAATGCAGCAGTGCCTTTGTTCTGTCTCACCAAACATAAGAAGATGGGAATTGATATATTCTCCCCACATACATGACAGAGAAATCTCCCAGAACAGTATCTTAAAAATCCCCAGTAATCTTGAGGTGACTTTGACGTATTAAAAAAACCCATGTTTTGTAAAAGGCAGGTCATCAACCCCGACCCCAACATTTTGAGGAAAAAAACAGCAGTCATTTGTCAAAGGAGAGTTTTGTTTCTAAACATAAGGTGACATTCCCATTACACAGTTTTTTCATTTGAAAGGTTAGCATAAATGGTACACACACTTTAAATCACCACAGGACATGGAAACATCTCGATGATCTGTCCTTTTCAGATACCATTCTGCTTCCTATCCCTACAAGACAGCTCATCCAGAAAACGCTACCTGTGAGTCTTTAAACAAGAGTCAGAAATAATCATTAGCTTCCTAGTTAATTTGTCTCCCACAGGTATACAATTCCTTTCATGGGATCTACTCACTCAACAAGGAAGACAGAACATACTCTACTAACAGTTTCTTTGCAAAAGCAGATTTAACTGACATCAAGTTTTGTTTCTTATAACTTCCATAATCTTGATATCAGCATAAAGGGTACACTTCCACCACCACACCTTCATTCCCTTATATCTTCTTTCCCAAAAAACAAGACCACAAAAAGACAAGTCTTACTATTATTATAATAAATCTATTTCAGCCAAACCTTTATTTGCTCATATTTAGATACTCTTTCTGATATGCCACTTGCATATAAGGATTTTTTCCTAAAGCTCTGGAGGTCAGTCTCAGCTTGAGGCAGATGATGAGGCACTACTGATATTTCTAAAGGCCTTTCTTCGTTCATCTCGCTTGTCAGACTTCAGTGGTTCTGCACCCAGTGTACTAAGTCAACCCAGTCACTAAATTCGGGTGGCACAAGCAAGTTCTTTCTGTTCTGGCTGCTGTGCACAAACAGAAGCTTCTCTATCTGAGACTGGAGCACATACTGATTAACACTACCTGGACATCACACTGAAAGGTTTCCCAGGTGTGGCAGAAGTCTTGGACGCTGTCCCAGCATGTAGTCTCTCCTACAGCCTTAAGCATTCACTGAGTCTATTACAGAAGGATTAGCACGTGGTGCAGATATGACCATTCTCAAACTGGTTCTTGCCTCTGGGTTTACCAGATACTGGACCCACATCGTCCCTCCCTGCCCTACCTTCTTAACACTGACATGTGGGAAGGCTGGGTAGGTGCATCAGCATTTGTTTTGTGCAGTGACTGGGACATATAATTAATTATAAGTCTCTAAATTAAAAGCAGATGTGAGGGAAAAAAAATTATCATGTGCCCTTCCTCTTTCAAAACAAGGTCCAAAACACAAAAAGCAACAGGAGTCAGAACTCGCACCTATCACTTCCTAGTGATAAACTGATTAAAATAATTCTCACTCTTCTAATTACCTAGAAGATTAAAAACCTGTGGATGTTAATTTTCTGTCACTGTATGGCTAGTTTATAGCCTGAATTTTAAAGTCAGTAAATACTTTATACTAGAGTATAAAGTCAGTAAAGTACAAACGTGTTTGTACCCATGGCTGTTTCTCTCTTCCCTACAGGTGGCACAAAACCAACAACCCACTTTCTAACAGCTGAAACAAAATGCAAAAAGCAATAAATATATTCCAGAAGCACCTAGAAGCACTAGTGAACACATGCAGCCAGCCAGCCTAAGGTCATCATGGGTAACATTACTGTGCAAGGCAAAGCATCCTCCAGCTACAGAAATTCCATCATAATCTGGCCCTGTCAACAAAGTCGCATGAACAATATTGATATAAATCACATGCTAGAAAACACCACTTTTGCTAAGTCAGCACTGGATTTTCTAGGATCTCCTGCCCTTCCACCGCCACAGAGTTAAACTCCTGGCTTAAACAGGCAGCCATGGATAGAATTCTCACCCAGGGTGCTCTTGTGGCAGAGTAGCCAGCAAAGATCAAGAAGACACATTGCTGTTTTAGTTCTAGCAATTATTCAAAAAGCTACATGCATGGCTCCATACTCCATACCTCTGATCAAACCATCCTCAGCTAAAACAAGCCAGACCCTTAAACATAACACAGTTTACCAGAGGCTTAGACAGGTAAGTGTTATAACAAACCTCTCACACGAAAGAGAGGAGTTGGGGTGGGGGGAACAGGCTTGAAAATAGGGAGGGGTGAGGGGAGAAGGGGTATCCTGCTTCACAAAATAAGCAATAATAGTGAGGAACTCACACACTGGTTACAATAGCAGGGTGAAATATTTCTATTCATTCAGCAGCAGAGATAAGTGCTTCCAGGAACTGAGAAAGTGGCAGACTGAAAGCGGGGGGGATAAAAACACCAAATCACAAAACCCCCTAAAAAAGCCAATCAGGTTTCCTTCATCACCAAGATTTGCAATTCAGTAAAAAGGTACAGACTAGGTACCATACAAAACCTGGTTTTTTTGCTAGTCAGGCCATTAGTCACATATTACAGATGAAAAGTTATGTGAACAAAATCTCAAAAAAGCCTGTGACAGGATCAAAAAGAATGTCAAATGTTATGAAAAACACGATGCTTCAGTACAGCCCAGATAGCAGGCTTTCTTCAGTTTGGGCTTCTGCTAACATCTTTACAGTGATTTAATTACAACTAAATTGGTTCCCAGAAGTGGTGGGAAAAGTTCAAATTATGTCAAATATTATGATATACTCACATTTCACTCAGAAGATACCCAACTTTTTCAAGCTGCAGCACCTCTTGCAGCTTGATGGATTCAGACAATTCCAAAATTCTGGATGACATAGTACAGTCATAGACTTGACTGTTCCACAAACTGCTGTTCTGTCATAAAAGTTCTGAACTGTGCTTCCAGAACTGAACTACATTCCATACAGCAGTGAACTAAATAACTACTGATTTAATACAATAATTTCATTACTAAAAAAAATTCAACTCTTGTACTACCAGCTCTAGTTCCAGCAGCATGGGCAAGGAGGTGACTTCTCTCTTCCCATCCTATTTGAAATGGCTGCGAGGGTGCTGACTCATAAGTGACCCTGAATGGGGGCACACATCTGAGCTGCTGCAGTTTTCAACACAAACTCCAGTAGCATGTCAGGTTGTGGCTCAGAAGGAGATGTGTGCTCAGCCACCTACGGCTACAGACGCCGTAATCTCAGCGAGGAAAGGAGGGCAGGCAGCTGGCGGAGGTTACTGCTGGAGACACCTTAGCCCAGCTGGCCATTGTTTGAGAATTACAACCCAACAGCCAAACCAGGCACCTTTTTTGCGGTTACAGCCTGTTGGATTTAAGGTAACACGTTATCCAGCTACAACCACCCTGCGCGCATTAGCGTGGCCTCCCAAACGAGCTTGGACGAAATGTTAAACATGAATTGTTCTACAGAACAATCCTATTTCTATCCATTTGCTTTCATTCCCTTGGCTCCTGTACCGCTTCCACCACCACCACCCACCCACCCCAACCCCCTCGTAGAGGTTTCGTTACATCTTTTCTTCGCATCTCCCTGTCTCTCTCATTTCCAGTGGGGCTTCACTTTGAACCATTTCACCCCAGGTCGGCACGCACCACTACGTGAACTTCCAGGGCGCACACGCAACATTCCAGGTAAAATAAATTACAGGCATCCTAACTGAGATTCGGAGCTCACGCCACCGACGAGGCAGATGTGGAAGGGCTCCAGGATGGCAGCAGACCCAGAAACAAAGCACCGTGTCAGCTGACGCTCACCCCGTAGTAGATGCGATAAAATACACGAAACGTGACCATTCAGCGCTCGCAAGGAAAACACACACAAAACCCCCAACACCGCCACAAGGTCTGGGCAGAAAGGCACCGCTCCCCATCACCTCGGACCGAGGTGACTGAGACAACAAAAGCGAGCCCTTCCCAAGGACAGACCGAGCGAGGAGAGGCGGAAAAGCACGGCCGGGGAGGGCGAGCGGGCAGTGCAGTAATGACCGACCGTGCGAGGCAGCGCCGGACCCCGCCCGGTGGCGGGCAGTGCCCGGCAGGACGCGGAGTGATGTGGCCGCGCTGCCCGGGGCCGTGCCGGGGCCGCCCCGCCCCGCCGCGGGCGGTGACAGCGTGCGGGGCCCGACGGGGCGAGGCCGCGACCCCCCCGGCCGCCCCCTCCCTCGGCGCGGCACAGCCCGCTCACCCCCGCCGGGACCCGCACCCACCTGCGCGGCAGCGCCGCAGCCCCCGCCAGACCCTGCCCGGCCAACGCCGCCGCCACAGCCCCTGCCCAGCGCGGCGGCTGCTCCCGCAGCTACCGGCGCCCGCAGGCCCCGCCCCGCTCCGGCGCGCTCCCCACAGCGGCCGCCGAGGCGCGTTAACCCTCTCCTCCCCGCCCAGTCCCGGCGCGGCGAGCGCGGCCCCTCACCGGCTGTGGCGGCCGTGGGCAGCGCAGGGGCCGGGGCCGGGGCGGCTCTGCCGGGCCCCGCTCGGCGATCCCGCTCCCGCCCGCGCGCCCGGCTCGGGACACGCGCAGGCCCTGCCCACCGGAGCGCGCGCCCGCACGGCTGGGCTCCCCTTCGCCCCGCCCCAGGCCCCGCCCCCGGCGCTGCCGCAGCCCCGGCGAGGTTTGGCCGCTCTGCCGGCCCGTAGCGGCAGCGGCTCCGGGCGGGAAGCGCGAGCGGGCCAGAGGAGCGATTCCCGGCTCAGGTACGACGGGAGCGGGACCGGGAACGGGAATGGGATCGGGATCGGGCACGGAACACAGCCCTGACACGGGCCCGACGGGCGCGCACCTCCTCAGGGAGCCGCCGGCAGACGGAGCGACTGACCCGCTGCGGGATCCTCACAGTTCCAATTTATTCCATTATTTCGTTATTACTACAGTATACGTAGTAGAATAATAATTAATGAATAATCAATAATAAAGTCCTTAGCCGCTGTTCGCGGGCAAGGCTGAAGCGAGAGGTTATGGCAAATCGGATGGATCTGTGAGATTGCTCGAGGAATGGCACAGTTATTGATTGGCGTGTAAATTATCACTGTTTCAATTAGTGTCTTGTTGCGGAAAATACCGTTTATATTATAATTGCATTTATCATATTGTATCGTATTATATATATCACAATATCATTACCAAATCATACTATATAATCTATATTTTGTTAATTGTATGTTCTCTGTATTATGTATTATTATATTTTGTACCCTACGATATTACATTATATATTATATATTTTTTATATATAAAATATATATTATCATAATATAATTCAGACCTCTCACAGGTCTGGATACCCACTGAGGTCTCAATAACCTGAACTCCCTTTTCAACTGCAGGAACACAGAATCCCTTTAAATTAATTTCTGGTAAAGGTAAGGAAGGAAGAGCTTTACTCCGAGTTCATTTATTTTACATGAGTGCATGCTGTCAAGTCTAAAGTGTCCCCAAAAAAGGGATAATTTATATTGCTGTCTAAGAAAGCAGAGGGATGAAAATAGATACAGGGTTGCCCATGCCTGGAGTGTTTCTGCCGATTTCAAGTGTAAATGATTTTCCATTTAACAATAAACAAGTGTCAACCTGGAGCAAAACAGGAAAACAGAGAGCTTTAAAGCTTTGGGGTTTTTGTCCTAACTTAATTAGTGTGAGCTTAACACGGTCCTGCTGCCAGAAGTGTCATCTATACCCGTAATCACAGTGGGGTTTGTGATGCACAGTTTGACAGATCTCCCACAGCTCTTCCAGAGTTCACATGTTTCAGTTTCCAGCCTGGATTAATTTCTTGCCTGGTAATTGCATTTGGGAAATCTGCAGCCTTTCCAGTTACAATTGGACAGGCTGCTTTTCCCTTGAAGCCTCAAACCATTACTCTCAGTTCAAAAGCCTGCTGTCTTTCCCTTGCAAGGACTAAAGTGACTTGTGCATAAGTGATGTGGTTATAAATCAATCTGACAGGCTTTTAGAAAGAAGTACCCACATAAATAATTTACAGTATTTGATTCATATTTCTGCCAGGTCTGGTCTCCAGAACAAGCTCTTTTCTTTTACTCTTTCTGTGTGTATGTATGTGAAACTCATTTTTGGAGAGTAGATTGTTCACTTTTGATTTTGCAATTGTGAGGTGTTGCTGTTTCACACCTGGAAAAGAGCTTGTCTGACAAACAAGTTCCCTTTTCCTTCAGTTCTACCCTGTAGTGCAACAAAACAAGGCAGGTCTTACTACAACCACAGCTCACTGTTTGTTGCTGCAGGAAATTCTTTTATATATAATATCATCAAAAGATTATTGGTGCAGGAGTACCAATTAATACCCTGAATGATTTTTTTTTTTTTTTAGTGCAGAATTGTGAGTTAACACAAAGAAATTAGGTAGTGCAAGAAGTAGGATTTATATTCCTGGAGAGCAAATGTATTTCAAATTTAGAATTGCTTGGAACTACCTGTTGCATAAGGTGCTAGTGATGCATTTTTAACTAATGAAACTCTGTGGACCCTCTGTAAGGCACTGAATTTTAAAACAGCAAACAAAATTGTGTGGGAAAGTAGCAATTGACCCACAACATGGCCATGAAGGAGAATGTTTGGAGGTGTAACCAGCAACATTTGAAAAATATGGAGGCGAAAACACAGCAGCACATGGGTTAAACCAACCAATTTGGACTGGAACTGGGTTTGTAATTGCTGGGGAAGCAGGGCCCTACAACCTCCAGTAGATAATTGATGAATTTGTGACAGCTGTATAAAGGTTGTTATGACAGGAAACAGCATAATGAATAAGGAGGTGGATTTCTCATCCCACGTTCCAAAAATGCAGGAATTGACCAGGTAGGCTGTTTCAGACGTTGGATGTGTTCAAAAACTCTGAAATAGGAACACTCCCCCACAAAGGCACTGTGTTATTCTGCTAAGCTTCTGTAAAGGTAAGGAAGGAAGAGCTTTACCCTGTGTTCATTAAAATGTTAATTTATAAAAAGTGGAACCGGAATTAGTGTTTTCTGTTTAGTGCAGGGAGGGGATCATCATCCTAGAAATGCCAAACGTAAACCTAGCAGTGCCTGATAAATCTACGAGTTTAAATTATGCTTTTGGAGCCACATAGATTCCACTAGAATGAATGAGGCTTGAAGGTGTCAAATGTGACACATGCCCTAACTGGGTAGAAATTATCATAGTGCTGTTTGTATGCCTTGAAAGCAAATATAGTTAAATTACTGCAAGTAGCTCAAACTTTCTGATTATATCTTTTTAATTCTCTTACTACAGAACGTAGCCTGAATCAATAAGATGTATCAATAAGGTATTGGCAGCATGAGAGCCCACCTTTAGCCTACAGTGAACATCCAGTCTCATGACCTCCCCATGCATTTCATTGTTAAACCTGCAAAACAATGAATATCTTTTTCTCCTGATGAAGTTAACAGAACATCACCTCTCTTTTTTCTGGAGTCCTCCAGGTTGTTTGCCTAGAGATAACAAAAGTCAAAATTGAAGAGTTCTGTTGTATGCAGCTTTTCCACGGGCAATTTCATCACCTCTTTTCCACTCTCTCTAAACTTTGGTGTAGCACAGACATGTCTTGATTAGGAACATCTGCCCCATTATACTTAAAAGAGAGTTACCTCAGCTTAAGTGCCAGGTAAAGCAGCCTTTGCATAACAGGTAAATCAACTTATAAAACAGTTTGGAGTTCTCAGAGGAGAGAATACTCCACAGAAATATAAAATTTTTAAAGCTTTTTTGTGTGTTTTCTTGGAGTAATTTGCACCTTAGGTGAAATATGTGGCATTATCTTTAGTGCCTTCTAAATCACATGTCACTGTTTGCTCTGGGTGGGTTCGGTGGAATTGCATTGTTTGCAAGAATGTTGAAGATTCTTACTCAGCAAACCAAAAAGCTTCATTGGGAAGGAAACTTACCCTATGGAGAGGATGAGGTTGCAAGAAAAGCCCTCTGAAAGTTCACAGTCCATGTCAAAGTCCTTAGATCGTGTGATGCTGTGATTAATTTCTTGTAACAGCCATGTTCTAGCTGAGCGTTTCCCAAGCCGTGGTACTCACACGATTCGTGGTATGCAAACTATTTTGAAGTGATGCAAAACTGCCTGCTTCCACCTTACACTTGAGAACTGGGAACTGGCTCTCCTAGCACAGGATTAAGGCACAGGGCATGGTTCAAAAGCCTACTTTGTCAAGACAGAGGGGAACAGATGGGAAAAGAGGTGATTTAGGACCAAATAAATTTTTTGGGGGTAGTGGACAGTGGGGTAGAAAGGGATGTGAGGATGTGTTACTTTAGAAAATTAGAAGTTTTGTCCATACAATTGTGGAAGGTGAAAGTGTTGCCACCACAGCCCACAGTGGTAGTTGTACCTGAACAGATTAAATTCAGGATTATCTACTCTAGAGGATTGGTTTATTTCCCAAACAGGAATTTGTGTACACACCCAGATTTTTCTCAGCAGCTGCTCCATTCGCTACCAGCATACAAATAAATACCTACTTCTGGAGTGCTGCTGAAAATTAGTATTTCATTATCTAGTTTTCCAAAACAGAGATTCTTTTTCTCATTATGTACTTAACGTGTTCAAATTTTAAAAGATGAGATCAAAATATGGAAGTAATAAAAGCCGTTAAGTTTACCTGATCTAGTCCATCCAGATAAACACCTCCAGTCTTGTGTGGGTTTTTTTTCTCAGTGATAAGAAAACTTCCTGAGAATATTACCAGATGAACTGAAAGGAATTCCCTGTAAATAATAAATAATGGTCAGAATCAATAAAAACACAGCAAGTCTATTTGAACTTTAGGTTTAGTATTTAAGATGGTTTGAAAACAGGGCTTTTTTAACACTGGTTAATGAGTCAGGCAGCCTTCTTGCACAGTCCTGACCCTGGAGGGTGGAGGATGTTCAAGGCTCTTTGGCACTCAAGTCAACAGCTTATTATCTACTTCAGTATTAATGTTTTATGTAAGTTAAAATGCTGTGGGGAGAGGGTGGGGTGGGTGAGGAAACAACATTCCATTGAGGAATGGAAGTGCCTTGCCTTCCCTAGCTCCTGGCTCTGACACTGAGACAGACTTATAGCTCCATTTTCAGAATTAACTTCTCTCTCTTCCAAACTCTTACTCTAATAATTTTGGTGTTGGAGTTCTGTCACTTTGAAATGCTTTGACAGTTGCTTTGAGACCCAGGGCCCTGCTCTGCTGCACTTCACTGACAGCAGAACCCACCACATCGCTCTGACAGAGTGTTTGCTTTAAACAAGGCTCGCAGCTGAAGCTGTGCCTGCAGGTGAAGCCTGGAACCAAATTGGATTCATACATAATTTGAAGACAAACCACTGACATGTTTTTAAACTGTTTATTGCAAAGAAGTGTGTTGCTAGTATTCCCTAGCAGCATCTGATCTGCTGGATTAAAACCATGTGATGTGAAGCTGTTTCCAGTGGGATTCTGTGCTTCTCATTCAGAGTCAATTCCCATATCTTATTCAGAATTTGTTAAGGGTGTATCTCTTTAATAAATTTAGACTGATAATGGTGCACACAACATAAAAATTTAAGGGACTTCAACTGAAATCAGTGTCAAGCAGTTTTGCATCAAAACAACACCCACCTGCTTTGCATAAATTGGTCACAGGGCTATGTAGCAAATGACATTGTGGTCATTGTTTCTTCCCAAGGGCTTATAATGATTAGGATCTGACTTAGACTGCTTGGGGCGTGAGGGGGGCAGCAGTATTGTTCAAACTTTGATTCCTTTTGCCTCTCACCACACACACTGTATTTGTCTCTCTACTTGTCTCCCTCCCCATGCAATGAACTCTTTGCTGAGGAGGGGAAATAAATAACCTGCTTAAATCACAAGTGTTTATCCTGGTAATGTTGTTTTCTATTAGTTCTTTTTCCAAAACCAAATGCATTTACCACAAATTGCAGCTCCCTTCTGACTAAAACACATTCAAGTGAATGAACACTGGAGAGTTATATAAGTTTTGGACTGAAGGTGAATAACTCTAGCCAACCAAAATTAAGGGGAGTTTTAGCTACACGTGGCATAATTGCCAGTGCTCATACTTGCCCAGGAAACAACCAGTATCCTTTTTCTGAAAATTGTTTGCCAAGTTCTCAGTAAACTTTGGATTTCGTGTTCAGAGACTGGAAAAAACCCTGGTTTTAAAAAGTGCTGAGCCTGGAACACATTAGCAAAGCGTAATACCAGCCAGGTTCTGACTGACTGTCAAATTGTGGTATCTGCTGGGGGGTTTACACTTACTTGAACTGTTTTGACATTTCCAGCTATCTTCTATATGTATTAATTTGTCCTATATTTATTACTTTCAAAAGGCTGAGTGCTGTGCTACCAGTTGTGCAAATTGCATTTGTGCAAATACATTAAAAGGGTGTTTCTGTGGTTTATTTAGGACAGCTGTTGCATTCCCTTGGCACACCTGGGCTACACGCTCTCCCAGGGATCACTGCTCCAGCAGGGTGGAGTGCAGTGCTGGGAAGTGTTGGATACTGGCTTGGAAAAGGGTGCCATCTACTGAATTATTGGCACCATTTCTTACAGTTCTTACAGGTTCTGTGTGGTTTTCAGCTCTGCACAGTTTACGTGGTACCGTCATAACACAAGGCGGTCTGATTGATTGCAGTCAAAGCAGTAATCTAAAATAAAGACTGACAAGTCAGGGTATAGCCAAGTAAGGTTTTAAAATGTTACCTCTGCTTTTTTTTCAGAGCCTAAGTATTAATAGATATTGAAAGTCATCCAAGAAGTGCTGAAGGATCTGAGAGGGAATTATATTTTCTCTTACCTTTAGGTATGCCTGAACACCAGGGGAACGATGGCAAAAGCTCCAGCAGCAGCAGCAGTTCCAGCACTGGCAGCTCAGGTGCTTCCTTCGGACAGGTCAGTTCCCTTTGCCCAGGAGGGAAGGAGAAGTTTTATGCTCACGCTTCTGGAAATCTGGCCTGCACGTTCATTCATTTGAAACTTGGACACAGTGAGGTTGGATTCATGCTACACCTAATTCTGTATTACATTTTTCATCCATGAGATGGTCTTGGCTTGCCTTGAGTTGTAACATATTGCTGTGGGTCTGGTTTTATTCTCTCTTAGTCCCAGATGCCCTGGATAATACTCACACACATTCTCAGTAGTGATTCAGAAAAGCCAACTAGTTTCAGCTATTAAAAAATTATTTTAAAAAATTGTAAAGTAATTCAGAAAAAAAAATTATCTGGACTAAACAGAGCTTTTGGTGGTGAATTCTCTTCTCCATGATAGGCATTTATACGTAGTTCCTGAACATGGCACAGGCATGTGCATCCTCCCTTTTTCCTTATGCTTTTTGGTTACAGGCTTGTGTTCTGAAGTCAGAAAAAGACAAAGTTATTCCTTTAAGTTTAAATAGAACCAAATACAAATTATGTGTGAGTAGAACCAAATACAAATACAACGTGTTTGGCAGGGGTTGGAATTTATATGACACACACACTATAAGGTTCTGTGATCTGCTGAATTGTTAGAGCAGCCAATACATTCCTACACAGTACTTGTGATTTAGGTGGTAAAACCTCTGTTCTGTCCCACATCAGAGCAGAGCAACACAAGCTTTTTAGTGCTCAGATCCACTACATTTTTCAAATTACATTTCTACGAAGACAAGCCTGAAGTTACAACACTTTAGGCTTCTGGTCATGCTTGTGTTCTCTAAAGATACCAGTGATGTTGGAGTTATCCAAAGGGATTTTCCCATGAGGGAAAATTGGTGAACACTCCTTAAGAAATTCATATTTTAACTGCTTTCCTGAGCTTATATCCTCCCTGCCCTGATGGTGTATGCTGCTATAGTAAGGTTGATCTTTGCTTTTATTGGAATTTTTAAATACACTTTTCCTGTTGGTCACAGAGATATTATGTTTTGGTTTTAAGAGGTAAAATAGAAGCTTATATGTGTGTTTGTGGCAAGCTTGACTGAGATTATTAATGGAAAATAGTTGGTACAGCTCAGTAATTGTATACATTGAGAGTAAGAGCGAAAAAAACCCCAAACAATCTAATGCACGTACATGCCATGAGGTGTTCCCTTGTCTGTTGGAAACTGATTCTAAAAATGGATCATACACCTCTTGGGAGGACTGGGATAAAGAAGTGATATTAGGAGAAGAGAGGGAGCTAAGATAGGGAGAGTAAGGTTTGTCTTGCCTTGTTTTTGTCAACAGTACCACTACACAGCCAGTGAATACCAAGCCATCCAGCACGCTCTTCGTCAGAGACTGGGTCCGGATTACATCAGCAGTCGGCAGGCTGGAGGAGGACAAAAGGTAGGAACAGGCATGCACAGATGTTTCTACTCCACTTTTTCCCCCTAGGGTTTAAAAAGTTACAATAGTCCTTATTTTTTTGAAGGTAATTTCCCGCTAGTAGTTTACTGTGCAGATACGAATGAAAAGTCAGTATGGCATAAATTCTGGCTTTTATTGAGTCACAGATCTCTTTTACACTTAAAAGAAAACCCCAACCTAATTTTTCAGTGCTTCATCTTTTACAAGGGAATGTTCATCTACTTGTGCAACACTGAGATGTTTTCCTTATTATTTTCCCAGAACTGGACTGTCTGAAGCACTATATAACATTGGCTGTGTTTTACCATCTTTAGTGTCCTCCAGCTCTGCCTTCCATTGATTAAGTCATATTTGTTGTTGTATTAACCTCCATCACAGTTGCTGGAAGAGAGCGAACCTACAGCAGCACCATCATCCTTTTATTCGCATTACCTGAACCTTGAACTCAGCCAGCTTCCCTCAGTGTGAGGTTTTTCAGTCCTGTTTTAAAGCACAGTGTGTGGAGAAATGTGCACAGGCCCCTGTGTTTATATGCATATTTATGTATTGATGCTTTTCTCTTCAGGTCTGTTACATTGAGGGTCACAAGGTCATCAGTCTGGCCAACGAGATGTTTGGCTTCAACGGCTGGGCCCATTCAGTCACTCGGCAGAACGTTGGTGAGTGTCTCTTGAGGGCAAAGAAATCTTTCCTCCCTCTTGTTTCCCTGTGAAGGGAAAGTCTCTCGGATAAGGGCCAGGGTATCTACGATAGAACTTGATCACTCCAAACAACCTGGAGAGAGGCATGTGCAATTCCTAGGTGCCTTAACAGTTAGTAAAAATGAGAGAAATTGAATAATAATGGAGCTTCTGTTTTCTTTTTACATGCCATAGTCATTACTCTAAGGGTGTTTATGATTGAGGTATTCTAATCAAGTCTCTGATCTCTATGGGAACACTCAGTCAAAAGTAATTACAATTAAACTATTTAACACCCAGCAGCCCTGAGCCAGCTTTCATACTCACCTGTAATTTTTATACTCTAACCAGATCAAATTCTCAGTTAATATTCCCTTAATCTTTAGGGACCCGTCTTTTTCTGCAGACTCCTCTTTTAGCTAATACCTAGTACTGAGATTTTTATAACAGAAAGCTTTAGAAAAAGGTTTCAACTCCAATTTGGTGTTTAGGTGATGTTAAAGCTTCATCCTCCTCTTGTTTGCAGATCTGCTGTGCTTATGCTAAAGGCTGGCTGTTGAAGTAGGTCAAAGTAGCTCCTTTGAAAGTACCTTCTTCCTTCTCCCCACCTTCAGAAATCTTTTCTTAACTCAGGCTGGTAGATTCTAGAAATAGAATAACTTACCTCATTGCTTTCCATCTATTCTGCACCACTTTTTTTTTCCCTCTTTTTAGTCAAGAAAGGACTGACATCCTTCAAACTTCTACCTTTTTTTAAATAATGCTATAACAATTCATTCCTTAAAAATTCAGAGCAAGAAGATTCTGTTACGTTTTAAATTCCTGGGTAGAAAAAGGGGGCTTGCACCTTCAGCAGGATTACAGAACAGTTAAACAAATAGACCAGATGAGTACAGAAGGAGTACTTCTTGGACCCCAGAACAAAGTTACTTGAACTCCAAATTTTATTTCAGACATGTGTCATGATTCTATTAGACTTGCAAGACTGCTAACTAAAGTGCTCTATGTGTATTATTTAGCATTGCTTTTGGTGTGAAGAAAGGTACTTCAGAGATTATGATTGAGAGTTGTATTGCAACCTGTTCAGCTCTTCAGGCATTCTGTCCTGGATAAAACATTTGTGCAAATTTTTACAAACTGTAAACTTCTGGTATGTAATAGGAAAGAAATTACTTATATAGACTGCAGTTTCTTTTCCACTGTTGTTTATAGAAATTAACCCTTAAAATCTCTCCTTCCAGCTGAAAAAATTGTTATTCTTTAAACATTTAGGATAGATATATGAATGTTAAGTAACATTTGCAACTCTTTCTTCTTTCATATGTCAGCATTCTCAAGCTACAGTTAATATTTTGTAAGTCATGCTCCATTTTACAGAAGATGGTACAATATCTCAGGAACATTCAGCAAGTATGGTACAGGTTTATGAATGTCCTTAAAGGACAAAAAACTGAATGTGGAGCAGAAGCCTTTTGTATTATTTAGGATGTTGCTTTTCCCTCCCCTAGACTTTGTTGACCTCAACAACGGCAGGTTCTATGTGGGTGTCTGTGCCTTTGTCAAAGTTCAGCTTAAGGTAAGTGGATTTTTTTTTTTTGTTTGCTCTGTCTGTAGCTGAGCAGTTGCCAGAAGCTGGGAATGAAAGGTCAGACTGTGGTCCTGGAGCACTGTACTGCAGCAGGGAACCTAGTGCTGTCCAAAACATGGGCACTGCTATAGAACAACCAGCTAAGAGCAAGTAATCAGGCTTAGGAAAGCACAGCAGCTAACATCAAGTGCTGTATGTGTAGAATTTCCCTTATGCTTACTTAGTATTTTACTGCAGGACGGGTCATACCATGAAGATGTGGGATATGGAGTCAGCGAAGGCCTGAAGTCCAAGGCCTTATCCTTAGAAAAGGCAAGGAAGGAGGCAGTAACAGATGGACTGAAGAGGGCGCTCAAGTAAGTGAAGATCAGTCACTGGTACATTTTCAGAAGTTATGTGAGAGTGAAGTGTTATTTTTCAATCACAGTGAGCTCTCTTGTTTCTCAGGTGCTTTGGGAATGCTCTTGGGAACTGCATCCTAGACAAGGACTACCTACGAGCTGTGAATAAGCTTCCACGTCAGGTGCAGTACACGGGCTGTTAGAGCAGGGACTGCACAACATCCCCTGCTCCTGGTCCTTCATGCTGTAAAGATTATAAACAGTGATATCAGTGCATCTCATTCCTGAACGTTACCAGCCTGGAGACCAATAGCCTTTGTAACAAACAGCCCACACAAACCAGCAGGCAGAGTTTTACCACAACTACTCCAAATTTTGACTCCTTGCAGCAGGCAAGTTCGCTGTGGAGAAGAAAGTACCTGACTCAACAATCTCGTGTGACATATATGACCATGTTGTCTAAATCTCTCTGTTTAATGCCAGTAATCCATGCATTAACCAAACTGGCTCCTTCCCAGAAGAACACTGCAGACTATTAGATGCCTCTGTGATAGAAAGGGTGAACTAAACTGTTTAGACTGGACCCATGACAACTTCCAGCTGCTGCCAGTCATTTCAGGGTTTTACCACAGCACAGCAGAACAGGTAACACTGTTCTGTGTTGGTACACGAGGAGTGTACAAATGGCCCTGCAAATGTCCTCTGCCTCACTTCAAATTGTGCTGATAGCTGAGTTTTGCAACTGAATTATGAGAGCAGGATGTACTGGCCTTGGCTGTTGGAGGATGAGGAATAATGTTAGGAAGATCTACAGTCTTACTTATTTGTGTTAAATACCTGATGTGATACTACTGACAAACTGGCTCTTCAGTGTGCCAAGAATTAGCATGTAAAACTGATGTATGCTTGAACACTTGAACTATGGTTCTTATCCTTCACAAACAGTAAGAAACCACATTACATCTTGCTTTGCTTTTTGGACTCCTTAACTCCTTATGTTTCAGTTTGCAAGGAAAAAGAGCTGCAGTTACTTTACCCCCTGTGAAACACCAAGTCAGTGACCTACCTTGTGGATTGAGGAAAAATGAAGCCTTTTACAACTGCTAATCCATGGAGTTTCATACTAAAGATTCCTTCAGTCACACTAGGATTTGCCAAACTCCAGTAGATACCCAGAGCTATAAGGTGGTTCTGTCTACCTTTATAGGTAGACTTTAGGAGCAGACCCAAAGTGACACCTCACCAAGTAAAGACGACCCAAATCTCTGCTTTGCCATCACCAGGGTCATTGTCTGTTAGAGGCATTGCCACAGATTTGTAAAATCAGAGCCAAAACATCCCATCTTTAATAAACAGGAATGGGATAGCTTCCTCAGAGGCCTCGTGGCTGCAAGAACTGAGTCAAGGATTGCTGTGCCCTTTAACACAAGTGTGAAAACAGAACTTGTGTTTTCTGACAGACTCAGCAACAGCCTCGTGGGACTCTGAGAAGCTGTAAAATTGATCACCTGTTCTTGTTTGCAGAGCACAGTGTGGGGAGACGGGCTATCTGCCCTGAAGCACCAAGGGATTAAACTAACACAAAGGCCCCTGAATTCAGCGATGAACAAACTGAATTACTGTGTACTGAAAAAGCATTTCAGTTTTCTAACTTACTGTTCAACTTGGAGCAAACAAAATAGATTTTTAAAAGCCTGTATGGAAACAACCTGTGCTTATTTCATTAATTTTATGATGGCAATTTCTGAACATTTCCTTTTTTTTTTTCCCCTCCTTTATTAGGTAATTCCTGAGTTAAATTTGGTCAAAGCTAAAGTACAGGACTACGAGCCTGAAATAGAGAAAGCAAGATACACCAGCTATTTGGAAAGGCAGAACATTGCAGGGAGACAGCACTGTGAGGTGGCATCTCACTGTGAGCCTGGTCAGACAGAGACTGCTGTGGTGACAGTAGATGAGAAACAGCCAAATGGTCCCAGGTGAGACTGCCATTATACATTTATTTCATAAGCTGTATTAGAAGTTACCGTTCCTCTTTGAACACATGGACAGCCCAATCCCAAAGATGCCATAAACCAGTAGTTCAGTGGATTTTCTTTACTGTTATTTCTTAATGAATTTTTTCTTCAGAAGATGTAATGGCTGAAATCCTGTTTGACTTTGTGCTTGCTCGGGGGAAGGGACAGGAACACAGACTCTTTGGCCACGGAGTGTGATGCCACTTACCAGCGGAAACTGCGACAGAGGCAGCTGCAGCAACAGTTCCGGGAACAGATGGAGAGAAAGCATCAGGTTCCAGCAGTTACTCCCAACAGCAAACAGGGTAAGGCATGGCATTAAAAACTGGCAGTTCCCATGATAGCTGCTGGCAGCCACACCTTACCCTCAGTACAGGAGCCTGACCAGCTTCAGGTGCTTTTGTACTGAGACATCCACACACCTTTGAGGCCAAAGGAAGGAGAATTTTCATCCTTTCCCCCTCTCTGTGTTCTTGTAGTGGCATGAGTATCAGCTCTAAGCCAGCATAATTAAAACTGCAACTTTCCAGCCAGCCAGAACTGTTGTCAGCACCATTAACCTGCTGCACCCGAGCTGAGGCTGCAGGCAAAGATTAACCACTGATATGTTGCCTTTTACTCATGGGGAATTCTGGAACCTGGAGGTGGGAGAAGCAGGCTAAAAAGAACCATGTTAAAGTAGCACACTTGCTCTTGTCAGACATCATCAGATACAGAATCTTACTGTTTTACATCTTGCTACCAAGTCATAACCAGCTCTAGGAAAAAAGAGCATACCTGGTGCAGCTGCTGGTTATCACTTCAGACTCGTGCTCTGTTAAGAAGGAGCAAAGGGTTCTTCTGTATTTCTGATATTAATCTCTTCTTGTGTTACCTCCTTCCAGCCACATCTGATCCTCCCAATATAAAGCACAGCACTCCAGCAGCAGTACAACAGGAGCTAGCAATAGAAGAGGAGTTCTTTGCAGGTCAGCCAAAAAGTGATAAGTGTTAAATCATTACTATTTAAATCAGCTCTTCAAAATATAGTGAGAGGTAAAAGTTCCAAGGAACTGGAATAACAGAAGTGTGAGTATGAATCTGATCTTCACAATACAAACTTTGCTTGAGTGGCAGGGAGATGATGTCCATCACTATGGGAGGTTTCCCACTTAAGCTCCTGAGTAGAGTTGTTATATCTATTTGGTAAACCCTTTTCTTGAGGTGATACTGCACAGAAACAGATCTTTGCGGGTGGGGTGGGTGTCTTTTCCTATTACAGCTGTGGCTGTTTGTGTCACACCGTGGTGCCTGGACATTGCCAAAGTCCAGAGCCCAAGGGGCAGGACCATTTCGCTGCTGTGCATTGACATAAAAGATGCTTTACAGATTAAATTTTATAGCAGCCACCGCTTGTAGGAAAAGAGTGTGCTGATCTTGGAGTTACTGTCATTCCTGTAGTACAACACTGTCATCACTGATCACCTTTTCATTCGTTCCAGATGACCCTGAACTCTGGGACATTTCCTTGGAGAGCACTGATCTGAAGGTAACAGGTGCCCAAATGGCAGACCCGTTGTCAGTCGGACACCAGACACCTAAAACAGCCCCTGGACATCACCCAATGAGGATCCGCAATAGGACACCCCACAGAACCAACCACCACAAAGCCTCTGCCAGACCTGCACAGCTGCAGGCACCTGCTACAGCCACGAGCAACAGCACTGACAACCAGCATAGCCCAGGTAGGTGCTGCCAAAAAGTGGCTGAGTTCTGTCCTAACAATGGCTCTCGGCTTTGAAAGCAGCGCTGTTAGGTTAGTGGAGCAGGAGAAACATTCCTCTCTCCTTGAACCTGGCCACAGGTGCTGTGACAGTGGGCTCGGAGAACTGTCTGGTTTTTTCCATCCTGCTGCCCTATTAGGGAAGAATTGGACAAAGAATTGAGGAGTGCTTTTAGAAGCAGAAAAAAAAGCATTAAGAAACTTCCATCTCTCACTCTCTCCCTGTTTTGGCAGGGTGCAGCCCCCGCAGGAGGAGTCAGAGCTTGAAGAAAAGGAGACTGGAACCTCTGTAAGGCACCCGTACCCCCATCACAGGACTGCAGCTGGCTTTCCAAATTGTGTCAAATGGAGTTTGCTGTGTATTGTGGTGAAACAACAGAGAATAGTTTCGTACAGCCAGCAAGAACTTCATGTACTTTTAAGTTATTACGCATTTCAGAGGCCTTTTTCTATAAACAAGCAGTCATTTGTGCCTCTGCAGCACTGGTGGACGGTACGTGTAATTTGCCTGAAAAAGGAACAGAATGAATTGTTAAAAATGAGATGCAATTTATACCTTCTCTCTCTCTCCCTCGGTGCTACATTTCAGCACAGAGGAAAGAGATTTTTAATGAAATGGGGAGCAGGTGGGTCATGGTCAGAGGACAGAACGTCTGACCTGTGGCACCATCCAAGGTGCAGCCCAGCCTTTTCCCTGTGGCTGCACTAACAGGGTTAGAGCCCATCACTCTTCCTCAGCCTGTTCCTCAGCCATCCCAGGCAGCAGCAGCAGCAGCAGCTCCACTTCCATCCCTGCCTGTGGCACAGGGCAGGAGCACATCAGGACTGCTGCCCACACTGTGTGGCATCGCAGACAGTGTTTGCTCGGATCCTTTGGGAAATGAATGGGAGCTGCACTTCTATTTTTAAATAAGCTTTCTACCCTTCTCAGTACAGAAATAAACATGAAATTTGCAAAACAAACCCTGCTGGGAGCTGTTTGTCTCTGTGCCCTTCCAGCCTTTACAACTGGCTCCCTGTGCAACAGCCTCAAAGGAGTTAACACGTTCCAACTGGAAGCTAAAGAGGACCCACCACGTCTGCACAGCCTCACGTTTGCTTTAGGATGGGCAAACAGAAAACCTCACAGGGTTTAAAGGTTAGAGCAGAGCCAACAGCTGTTCCTTCTAGTATAAAGGTCAAAGGAAGAATTTTTAAGCACTATTGGAATAATACTCCTGTATCCATTTGGAGCAGCTCCACACTGAAAAAGGAGTTCTACTGGGCTGAAATACTTATTCTCTTCCTCTGTAGTGAAGTGGTTCAGCTGCAGCTCCACCACCACATCAGGGTTCAGGCACTTGTGCTGGCAGCACTGCTCCTGGCAGGGTGGTTTCACCTTCCCCAGGTATTCAGGAGAGGAGCCTGGTACTGCAATTCCCACCTGCAGTGCTGGAGGTAAAGAGGATGATACTGTATGACTGGAATTTACAGCTGGACCATGAAAATTTACATAAACCTCGGGATTAGTCCAACCCTGACATCAACATCAGGCTTGAAACAGGACCCTATTCCTGTGCTTGGCCACCACTGCTCTGTCTAGATGTAAACATGTTTGAAATACCCAGTATTTATTCTTGTTCCTCCTACACTACCCTCACCACTTAATCAGTCCTTTCCCCTTAAAAGATCCTCTACTATCCATTTATCTCCTCAACAGGACAAGGAACAGCATGGAAAAACAGGACAAGGTGTAATGAATGGTAAGAGATTATATCTAAAAACAGTTTCACATTTCACCGTACTCATTTCTTGCCAATTCAGTTCTGCCTTCGGAACAGCTCAGGGAAGAAACACATTCCACGTGTTTGAGTCATGCACTCGCTGTTGAAACCATATATACCTGCTAGGAAGGAAGGGAATGTGCAGACATTCAGAGTTACTGAATTCAAAGCCGCTCCACGCTGTCACAATGAAAAACATTCAAAAGTCTCATATAAACATAACTGCCTCAGCTTTCTTGACTCTGGAAACAGTACCAGTGTAGCTGTGCCTCCTCTAAGAGAGATCACCTCAAGGAGCCTGTCAGGATTGGTCCCTTTGAAAAGGGCAGGAAAACTTATACTTGGAGCTTTTTTTCCCTTTGAGGCCTTGCACAGCATGACTCATAACAGAAGCTGCTCTTAAAATGGAAAGAAATGCAGCAGCAATTAGTGTTTAGAAATACCAAATTCCAGCAAGTCGATAGTTGAGAATGACCCTGTGAAGTAGTTCCACAAATCTGAGGATTGAATTCCTGTTATAGAGCTCAGTGACTTCCTTCTCCCCAGCCCCACAGGTGCACATCCCTGCTCCCATCCACCCCAGAGCGAAGGGCAGGGGAGCCAGCAGAGGGAAAGCCCCCAGGGAAGGCACTCCTCCCAGCCTTGCAGCACCCACTGCTCTTGCTTCACTGCCAAAATCAAGCACAGGACCTCACCTCCACCTGTGCTTGGGACAGGGAGAGCCACCAAGTTCTTGTCTGTCACAGCTGAGTGTGTTTGGCAAGTCTGACAGTCCTACAGCTGATCCAATATTCTGCACAGCTTCTCCCTCCCACTCCCTCAGGCCGCTCCTCTCCTACAGATTCATTCCATGTAGTACCTTGTTTTGGAGTATCCAAATCTTGTAGTACCTTGTTTTGGAGTATCCTATTAAAGGCCAAAGGCTCCTGACTAGTCACTGCTTTTGAGAAGCTGTGATGGTTTTAGTCTAGGCCTTCCTTGGTGACCAGTTTGTAACCAAGGAAGGAGCCAAGTACCCAGTATTCCACACAATTTTTACATAAACCAGAGTATAAATAAGTCGGAGATTAGAGACTTCTCTCTCTTCTCTTCCTGCGAGGTTTGGGAACAGTGGGTCCCTGCGTTGGTCTCGCTTATCTAAGGCTGAGGCCTGCAGAGTCCACCGTCCTACCACGTGGAGGTTTGGAGAG